AATATGTAAAATTATATAGTTATATTTTATTATTATGATATATTTTTATCTACACACCTAATTAACGTGAAATTAAAATTAAAAAATTAAATTAATATTTATAATCAAAGTTTAAAGATTAAGTTAATAATTATTTTCGAAAATTTAAGAATTAAATTAATACTTGTATTCAAAATTCAAGAATTGTTTTGATACCCAAAATTAAAATTCAGAAATAATTTTAGGACTTTTTAAAGTTAGAAGATAATTTTAATGCAAATTCAAAAATTAAGTGACGAAATTAATATTTTAACCAAATTTCAAGCTCTTAGACAATTTTATTTTAACTGAAGTTAAATTTCTTGACAATTTGATATCCACACTAACTAGAAACTAAACGTGTTGTAACTGTAAACAAACGCAGTAAAAGAGCAGAAGCCTCCAATCTCCACCGTCCATCCTTCACCTAAGATCTATCAACGGTACCGCCCAGAACCAGTGGCACTCTCGTAAATCTTTCCCTTAACAACAAATCATCCCCCTCCTTATTCGTATTTTTACATACCTCTCGTAATCTTCATTTCTTCCAAACGCAAAACCCCATCTCTGCCCGCGTTGATCTCTCAAATCGTGATCTCGACGAGCAGTTTGTTCTTGAGAAACTTAATCTGCAAAAATGGTGAGTTGAATATCATGATCTGTTTGATTCTGCATTAGATCTGGTTCAAATCTGCTTCGATTCGAACTTAGTTTCTTGTTAGTCGCTTAATTGCATGAATTTTAGCGGCTTCGTTAGGTAAGATTGAATTTTTATGTGATTTATGGATTCGAATGGGAAGAATTGGGATCAGCTGCAACTTTCGACGTTGCGGTTTAATTGTCATTCAGTTACTATGCAGCCGAACAGAGTGTTTGGGAGTTGAATTTAGTTGAGATCTGAGGAGTAAATTTGGTTGCTTTGCTAAATCCATTGATATGAATGCAAGTGTTTGAGCGATTTGGATTGTGTTTGGCTGCAAAAGGAGTGTAAAGTGAGGCAATTTTCAAATCTGCGAGCCTAAATTATCATTCATTTCTCTTAGTTTTCTTGCTATAAATGTGACGTTTTGTTTACAAGTTGGATTCAAGATCCGGTGTTCGATTTGGAGCTGATTTTGTGTTTCTTTTTGTTGTTTCTTATGCGTTGACAGCCACTCAGGCTTGAAATCAAGGTACTTATCATTACCATTACCTTTAGCTTGGGTATATTATGTGTGGATTAAATCTCTAACTTTTAGTGACTGCAAAATGTGGTAGTAACTTTTTACTTTAATCTTTGAGTCAGAGGAAACTTGCTCAAAGATCGGAAAGAGTAAAATCTGTAGACCTACATCCAACAGAACCATGGTAATTTTACTCTTGGGAGTTATATTTTTGCTTAGTGTCCAACTTCAATATATATCATATTATCATGTAGTATTATGTTATTATCTTGAGGCTTCTGTCATATATTATGCCAATTTTTGCAGGATTCTGGCAAGTTTATATTCAGGAACCGTGTGTATCTGGAATTACCAGTCTCAGGTATGCCCGTATGGGTTTATAGTTGATGGTTTGGTTTTGTGGAACACCACTATCTGGAAAATGGTTTATAGGCAATTTTCCATGACACTTAATCTGTATTATGTGCTTTCCAAGGATAGAGTTTTCTTTCAATGTCATGTCTTTTAGGTAGTTTCTTGAATTTGAATTATTTGAAATGCTTTATGAAATATGATGCTAATTTTTGCCTTCTTGATACTCTTCCCAGACCATGGCTAAGTCGTTTGAGGTTACTGAGTTGCCAGGTATGTGATTCTGTTTTCTTAATGCTTTCGTCTTAGTATGATTGCATTCCATTTCTCCTTTCTCTTTGAACCTGGTGAGCTGATGAAGTCATTACTGTTCTCTGAAATCTACATCTGTTGTTTACAGTTAGGTCGGCCAAGTTTGTAGCACGCAAACAGTGGGTCGTAGCTGGAGCTGATGATATGTTTATTCGTGTATACAATTACAATACAATGGATAAGATTAAAGTATTTGAGGCACACACAGATTACATAAGATGTGTGGCTGTCCACCCTACTCTTCCTTATGTGCTATCATCATCTGATGATATGCTTATAAAGCTTTGGGATTGGGAGAAGGGTTGGGCATGCACGCAGATATTCGAGGGACATTCTCATTATGTAATGCAAGTCACTTTTAATCCAAAAGACACAAATACTTTTGCCAGCGCATCTCTTGATCGTACCATTAAGGTATAAAGGTTATTTTATTTTTTTACTTAATTACTGTCTTTCTTGCTTCATTTGATCTAACTCTGGTAAAATGACGTATCTTTGTTGAATTTCTAGATTTGGAATCTAGGCTCCCCCGACCCAAATTTCACTTTGGATGCCCATCAGAAAGGGGTAAACTGTGTTGATTACTTTACAGGTGGTGACAAGCCTTATTTAATCACTGGTTCTGATGATCAAACTGCCAAGGTCTGCAGCCATTTTTTCCTTTTGTTTGGCTATGATTTGATAGTAAATAAAGGTTTTGGGATTTTTCATGAATAAGTTCTATGAAGTAGGTGTGGGACTATCAAACCAAAAGTTGTGTTCAGACGCTGGAAGGTCACACTCACAATGTTTCTGCAGTTTGTTTCCATCCTGAACTTCCTATAATAATCACTGGTTCTGAGGATGGTACTGTTCGCATTTGGCATTCTACCACATATAGGTAATTAATGAACTACAAAATTTTTTGTAAGAATTGGATTTAACTGGACCCTAATTGCTTCTTAATGTTTAGTAGTTATTGATTTTGTATAAGAATCACCTGCAAAAATTCAAATTCAACTTTCACCTCTTCTGTTCAATTGCAATTTCTGGAAGTGGCCACATTTTTGAAGAATTAAAATTCCTTTGGGCTGTTAAATAGTTTTGGTTGGATGCATCGTCCAAAAAAAAAAAAAAAAGAAAAAGGTCAAAGTTCAGGCTATTTATTGTATACTTACTTTTACTTTTCCATTTCTTCTTTTTTTGAATGAAGTATTGTTTTTATGTTTTTCTATCATATATTTTCTCTTCATAGCCTTAAATCTTGGGTATGATTAATGGAGTCCAAGAATACTTAATTTTAGACTTCTAAACCCTATTACATTCTGTACAGGCTTGAAAATACATTGAACTATGGTCTTGAGAGAGTTTGGTCTATTGGATATATGAAAGGTTCACGGAGGTAAGTTCTTTGATTAAGTCCCATAAAAAAGTTTACTCTTATTTCTCCACCAGGTTTATGTTTTGTCTATCTAAATATTAGAGATATTTATTTATAAATTCTCTATTTTGTGTCCCTCATTAATTTTAAAAAAACATGTAGAAAATCATTTTTGTCTTTTCATGTTGATCTTCACTTTCCGAATGTAAATTGATGCTGTCAGGTTGCTGGCTTGTGAATATCCTTTATTAATTTTTCTGACATTTCTTGCCATCCCCTTTGTAAACTTAGGCCAAAGTCTATCCTCTTGTTTTTATCTGTACAGGATTGTTATTGGGTATGATGAAGGTACCATTATGGTGAAAATTGGTCGTGAAGTGCCTGTAGCTAGTATGGATAGCAGTGGAAAAATTATTTGGGCTAAGCACAATGAAATACAAACTGTGAACATTAAGAGTGTTGGAGCAGATTTTGAGGTTTCATATTTGCTTGCTGATCCTTCTTACTGCATGCATCTCATAAAGTCAATATGTTTTTCTTAAGGTTTAAACTCTGTCATTCCTGTTTGATTTTTAGGTCACTGATGGAGAAAGATTACCTTTGGCTGTTAAGGAGTTGGGTACCTGTGATCTTTACCCACAAGTGAGTTGCTCTGGTAGCTAATTTTTATGCTAAAGTATGGTCTCCATGTCTTCTGCTTTTCTTTGTGTACCTTTCTCTGTGATTAAGGGTACAGTTTTTGAGTGTAGATATAAACCTATCATCAGATTGTAGTAACATTATCATAGTTATAGCTTATCAATGTAAAAATAAGACTTCAATTTTTAAAAGACTACATGTTGTGCTTGCCTTTCAAATTGCCATTGTGAAGCGTTGCTGAATGCTTAGCATTGAGCCTTTTCAATTTTGTTAGATAAAATAAGAGGAATGCATTTTATCCTTGGGTTAATTTTATAAAAATGTGTAATTGAGAGTGTCCATACAACTTTGGCCTTAATTTATTTATTTTCTCTTAAACTGTGTTTATGGCTGGAATGTGATTAACATTTAACTCTTTAATATATCTTGTTTTCAGAGCCTAAAGCATAATCCCAATGGGAGGTTTGTTGTTGTGTGTGGAGATGGTGAGTACATTATATATACAGCTTTGGCATGGAGAAATAGGTCATTTGGTTCGGCATTGGAATTTGTTTGGTCCTCTGATGGAGAATATGCTGTTAGAGAAAGTTCATCAAAGATCAAGATTTTCAGCAAAAATTTCCAGGTTTATATTTTGTTACTTAGATTCTCTTTCTTACATTTAAAAAATGTGCCTGAATAATTTTCTGCTAATGCAAACCTTCCTTCATCTATCTATTATATACAATATCAAAAAAAGAATAACACCTTACTTGTAGTTAATATATAAGAAGTAAAAATTAATATATATATATATATATATATGAAGTCAATTTGGATTACATGAATTGATGGAGATGAAATATTTCAGGAAAAGAAGAGTGTTCGGCCAACCTTCTCTGCTGAACGAATTTTTGGAGGAACTTTACTAGCAATGTGTTCAAATGATTTCATCTGCTTTTATGACTGGGCTGAATGCAGGTTGATTCGACGTATTGATGTCACAGTTAAAGTAAGATATAGTAGCTTTATCATTTTTCTTTTCTTGTTTTAAGTTTGTCAGCTGCTAATATAACTGTGTTTCTGTCTCCAAAATGTCAGAATCTGTACTGGGCTGATAGTGGTGACTTAGTTGCGATTGCCAGCGATACATCATTCTACATCCTGAAGTACAATGTAAGTCTACTTGTTAATATTATAGTTGCTAATAAAATATGCATCTTGGGTCTGCATATCTTTCTTGACAATATATTCCACACCATTTAACAGACAAATGCATATTTTGTCTCTGTGTTGTTATATGTAACTGAATTTAATATTTCATTTTACAGCGGGAAATCGTTCAGTCTTACTTAGATAGTGGAAGGGCAGTGGATGAACAAGGAGTTGAGGATGCGTTTGAGCTTCTTCATGAAACCAATGAGCGTGTTAGGACTGGTATATGGGTTGGTGATTGCTTTATTTACAACAACTCTTCATGGAGACTTAATTACTGTGTTGGTGGAGAGGTATTGTGTGCTGCTTGTCCTTGGTTTGAAATCTAGGTTTCTAGATTCATCCATTTGTACATGTTTAACTGCTCCATCTCAATGGTGTTATGATTACAGGTGACAACCATGTTTCACTTGGACCGTCCTATGTACTTGTTGGGGTATCTTGCTAGTCAAAGTCGCGTATATCTCATAGACAAAGAATTCAAGTAAGTGCACTTGTAGTTGACATCCTTTGAAGTCGTGCCTATCAACTTTGTTATTAATTATCACTTACTCTTCCTGCACTCTTTTCTTGCCCTTTATATGCAGTGTTATGGGATACACATTGCTTCTCAGCTTGATTGAGTACAAGACTCTTGTGATGCGTGGAGATTATGAGAAAGCCAATGAAATTTTACCCACAATTCCTAAAGAGCACCACAACAGGTACATAGATAGATAGATCCCTTTGCATTATTTAACTGACAGAAGAAGGTTGTCTTTCCACTCTCAAAGAGGATTATGTGGCATGTTTTCACATAAGGCTGTTGGTATGCTAGCCTTTTGTTTTTGATTGGTGTAACTTCTTACACCAATTCTTATGTTTTGTAACTTGCTTATTTTCATAAATTTTTTAAAATGCATTTCGTGTATGAAGTTTTAATCATTGCAATCTTCTCTGTTCTTCCCTCACTCTCTCCATCGTTGCTACTGTGTTTAACTTTTTTGCTTCTGATGAGTCATCTCTTGATAAATATTTATGTTGATTGGTTATATATCTTGTATATTATTTGATATGGTAAATCATGTTTCTGTAATACTCACAATTGGTGATTGTTTGGCTGTGCCTTTGCCCTTCAGCTATTATATTTCTATCCTAAATCTGCTTATTTTAGAAATTTATGATCTTTTCATTTCTTGTTATAAGTTGTGTTAACTGAAGCTTCTATTAAATTTTAATAATTATTTGCTTGATTGGTAGTGTGGCTCATTTCTTGGAATCACGAGGTATGATAGTGGATGCACTAGAAGTTGCTACAGACCCTGATTACAGATTTGAACTAGCCATTCAGCTTGGTAAATTAGATGTTGCAAAGGTAAGTCTGAGAGTTGTTAGATTGTTTAGCATGCATAACCTGTTAGATCTCTTGTTTGCCTGGTTGTTTAAGCAATGGAAATTTTGTTCTGATGCCTGATTTTTGTTTCCTAACAATTTCTTTCTCACTAAAAAGGATTCATATTCTCTTTTTTGCAGGATATAGCCATTGAAGTTCAGAGTGAGTCTAAGTGGAAACAGCTAGGAGAATTAGCTATGTCCACTGGAAAGGTATTGAATTACCTTTGGTGGATGATTCATGGTTTCACTGAAACTTCTTATGATAGATAATTATGTACTATACCCTTCAATTTAATTTTCTTTTGCCTACCTATCTATAGTGTAATTGACTAGGTCATAAATCTAAATATAAAGGAGTTCATGTTTATTTGTTGCGAATGAAATTTGTCTAGTAACAAGTTAGTATATTAGCATGTCCTTGATCATAAGACATTGTTCAATCGGGTCATCATTTTCATGAAACTGAAACATTAAATGATTAACCTGTATTCATGGTTGTCTATTTTTGCATGCTCTTCTCATCAATTATGATTGTGATTTTGTCTCTTATTTATTTTTTAATTTTTTGTACCATTTGTGCATACTAATTTTTTGTATATTATTTCAGCTAGAAATGGCTGAAGAATGCATGAAGCATGCAATGGACTTGAGTGGTTTATTGTTGCTGTATTCTTCTTTGGGAGATGCTGAAGGGATATCAAACCTTGCAACTCTTTCAAAAGAGCAAGGAAAGAACAATGTTGCATTCCTGTGTTTATTCATGTTGGGTAAATTGGAGGACTGTATTCAGCTTTTGGTTGAAAGGTAAAAGAGTACTTGACACATGAAACTGTGTTTCTTGTAATTTTAGTTATCTTATATTGAAGTATTTCTTTTTCAGCAACCGTATTCCAGAGGCTGCTTTGATGGCACGCTCTTACGTTCCAAGCAAGGTCTCAGAAATAGTGGCTATTTGGAGAAAAGATCTGAACAAGGTTTTTACTTATTTGTTCTGGTTATTTCTATTTTCTTTGAGTTTGTCTTTAATTATCATAACTTACATTCATTTTGCTTCCACTTGATATTTGGTGTAATGAATGCTTAGAAAATTCAAAATTTGTTAATTTTTAGAATCATTGGTGGCACTTTTCTTCCTTCTATGCTGCTTTATTCATATCTAAATTTTAGATATTTTCTAGTGGAAATAGGACACATGAAAACTTCTCATCATAAAGCAGGCACCCTTCTCAAAATTTTATTCTGTATTTTAAAAGAATAAAATCATGTTTGATTTAAAGTAGATGGTTAACATGACAACCTAATTGATATTTTTCAAGGTCAATTAGGAGGGCAACTTTTACTCAAAAGCTAAGGAAAAATAGTCATCTCTGCATTTTAGCGTTTTTGTGATAAAGTTATCTAGAATGCTTGGTCATATATATATATATATATATATATTTCCAATTTCCTACCTTGTGCTAATGTTGGAAGTTTCACCTCATTTCTGTTGCAATAGGTGTTAACATTTTACTCCTACCTTATCATGTAGCCTCACAACATGAATCTTTTTGACTTATATGTTTTTGGTTTTCATGTTAGTATCTGCTGTAATTCTTGATTCAATTTTGAACTTTTTTGATTAATAATATAAATTGCCAAATCGTTTCACATGATTTTTCCTTATATGAAGGTCAATCCAAAAGCTGCTGAATCATTGGCCGATCCAGAAGAGTATCCTAACTTGTTTGAGGATTGGGAACTTGGTCTTTCTTTAGAATCTAAAGTTGCAGAGACAAGGTATCTATGGGGGGGTCTCTTGCACATATGGGGCTGAATCTTACCAATCTGTTTTCTCGTTGCTTGTTATCTCTGTAAAACCATACTTCTATGGATCTTTTCTAGAAAATTTAGCACGTTCAGACTCCTATTTGTTTGTCATAGTCTTTTTCCTGGATTTTTTCCTCCCTTTTTGTTTATTAAATGTAGGCAGTAGTTTATGTTAAACTTATTGAAATTAGTGCTTTTTGTTAGTTTTTCTAGTAGCACTTTTATGGACTTTATACCTCTTTATTTCTTTGCACCTGGATATGAATTTTAACTTTCTGTTGCTTTTCAGATGTATTTATCCTCATGCAGAGGACTATATAAACCAAGCTGATAGATCACACATGACACTTGTGGAGGCCTTCAGAAACATGCAAATAGAGGATGAGGAACCCCTTGAAAATGGAGATCTTGATCATGAGGTATATTCTGCATATGTATTTATATCTTCTTTTTGTTGGCCACTGTGTTGGATACAAGGACTACCTTGAGTTAACCTTATAGATAGTTTTCTCCTATGTAAATTAACTGTGTACTTTATCTTTTTCTTTGTTTGTTTGTTTTGCTTTTAAACTCACAGGACAGTGAACAAAATGGACACAACCAGGATGCAGAGGAGCAGAATGGAGAAGAAGGGAACCAAGAGGAAGTTGTCGTTGTGGATGCCGATTCTACAGACGGTGCTGTACTCGTTAATGGTAACGAGGCTGACGAAGAGTGGGGTACGAATAATGAAGGAACCCCGTCAGCCTAAAAGCATTGGTTGGGGCAGTGTGATAATCCAAATTTTGTCTCTGGTGATTAATAGTTTCTGAAATGCCATATCTAACTCCCTTTTTTCCTTTCTTTTTCCCGTGTGGAGTAATCCTGCTCCTGTTTTTACTAAGTTTTCTTCTTTCTTTTTTCCTCTTTTTTTTTTTTTTTTCCGAACACCACTTATATTAGCTTAGTTTTTCTAGTTCTGGCTAATTAAATGGAAATGCGATAGATTTTACTTCTCAACTCTTGACAAAGGAGAGTTTTCCATGACTTGTTTTTAGTTTCTTTTCTTTTTGGATCTAGCTAGATATTTTATTAAAATGAGTTGCTAAAGATGCATTTTACTTGTTTCAAAGACTAAACGCAATTAATCTGTTGGAATTGGCAGGATATTTTTGTGATCTGAAATTTGACAAGATAATGCCTTATCTGATGCCTTTAAATAATGGCTATTAATGTGAGAGAGGGCTGTTAGGTTTTGATGTCATACATGTAGCTTAAAATTGCAGTAAGCAGTTTCTGTGTTGTAGATCAAATTATTTCAATCTTAAACTTTTGGTATGGTTATGAGTTTAGGCAGTTTGTAAGTTTTAATCTTGGAGCAGAGGATTTTGAATTTTCCCTTTTTTTTTCAACCTTGATTTGCATAAACCTGTGTGATATTCTTTTACATTTACCTGCATTTCTCTGATCTATCATGCCTTATTCCTGATTTGTTTCCAATCCTTCCTTCTCTGTTGGCAGTGCTTACGCCACCTCAATAGGTTCTGTCAAGACATTCAGTCCGAGCTCCATTCAGGTCATACTTAAGGTGAGAAACATGTGGTTATATATGCATTTGGGAGAGCGGACTGGAGATGGTCCACACATATCCCGGTCACATTCTGAGGCCCTTCAAGTTTTTGATGAGAAAGTCTTCTATACTTTCAATGAAACAGCTAAAACATATTATCCATTTAGCTGTTACGATGAGAAAATAATTTGCCAGATCCTCAAATACCTAAAAATAAAGCATTTGTAGTTGGTATTCGGCCTCTTAAATTACTAGCAGGAGGTTCACATTTAAATTATTATATTTGATAGTGTGTTTTTTTCTTTCTTTATTAATAAATTTTGGATTTAATTGACAGGTTTTTATTGGAGGTTAGGAAGATTTGACTATAAAGGACCGTTTGTCTCTCTTTCCTGGTGATGTGGCTCTGTAGCACTTTGAATTTTGGCATGGGGCGTATACAAGAAGTAAATTAGCTCAGTCATGATTTACTAGATTGTCTTAAAGTTTTACAATATTCTTTTGAGGCCTTTTGTCCTAAAAATTTTCATGTGCCATTGTGAATGTAGGAAGAATTGGGATTAGTGATGATTACAGAACTCAGCACCTTTTTTTTTTTTTTTATGATTTTAATTAGATATGCTGTTCCCCTTGATTCTTCTGTTTGGGTTGCGGGGTTTTCCTTTTGTGAAAATTGTACTGTAAACTTATCTACATAAAGCATCATAGATTCTTGAAAGGACCCTTGCTTTTCTAATGGTTTTGTAACTCACTCTTCAAAGTAATAATATGTCAACATTATCTCACCATGTATGGTGGGTTGCTGTTGTCTGTAGATTCAATTTAGAGGGTAATTTTCCTGATGTTACTGAATCATGCTATTTGGTTCGAGGTGCACTACTGAATAAACTTTCATTGGAAGTTAAAGTATTTGTATTTTGCAGTGTTATGATATGGTTGCATCTGAGATCAGATCTATATTTATCTGCGATGAGTTACCGGCATGATCTGACGTGAGACCTCATTTGTTTTGTTCCTTTTTATCATGTCAGTGGAAAAGCAGAAATCTGATCAATGAAATGAATGGGGAAATTATTCTTGTGATGTAAAAATCATGGGGTCATGTTCTTGTCTTGAGAATATTTCTTTTGTTAAGCACGAGAGAATATTTCTGTTGAGGACTTTTTGTTTTCGGTAAGTTGTCTTTTGAAAACTGAAAAAAAGATACAAGTAAAGAAAAAAAGAAGAAACTACTGAGTATGTAAAATGAACAGCTAGGGGTGGGCAAATAGAGGTTCGGTTAAAATTGAAACCCACATTTGATTAATTGAAACTTTTTGATTTGAAAAATTAAAACCAAAACTGAAACCAAAATAAATAAAATTTTTTGGTTTGGTTATCCAAAATTTTGGTTATTTTAAATTAAAATTTGGTTTTAATCAATAATTATTGAACATGAAATGTTATTACATGTGGTGTATGTGGGAAAGATTTTTAAGGAATATAAATATTGGAAAATGTAAAATAGATAGACAAATGAGAGAAATATGAATTTTTGAATTTTATTTTTTTACTTTTAAGTATATTTTAAATTCAAATCTTAAATTATAACAAAATTTATAAGGTAACACTTGATAATGAGATTGAATAAGATAATTTTTATAATTATTTATAATATTCAAATCACTTATTTTTCTATTAATATAAATTTTGTTTTCCAGTTATAAGGTTATATATTAGTTTTCAAACCCTCTAACCATTAACCAACTGAATTTTTTCAATTATCTAATCAAAACTTAAAAAGAAAAAAAAATCAATAAACATTTACATCAAACCATTTGGTTAATTTTTAATTGGTTTTCAGTTACCCATTTGGTTAACTAATCATTTGTCCAGTTCTATACATACCTATCAAGTACTTGGTCAAATATTGAATATAAGGCTTAATATCTTATATAGAAAAATGTATTTTTCAAAACAACTTTGTGAAGGACATCTTCTAAAATATGATGTTTTTTCATAGAAAGATAAGGAGAAAGACCCAATTTTAATGTAAAAAATTGAGAAAAATATAGTACAACGAATAAATAAGGATAAGATGTAATTAAGGAGGAGATAATTAGGAAGAAAAAAATACATCAAAGAATTTATTAATAGAGTGGGAATAGATAAAGATGATTGAAGAAATTTTTAGAATTTGTTAATAATTTTCATAATTTGTTAATAAAGTAACAAATTCTAAAAATTTGTCCTTTTTAATTAAATTAATTAAATTAAATTTGTACACTTGAATTCTTTTTTATATTTATCATTTAGACATGCTTTTATGAATTAATATTACTCTTAAAATTACTAATCATCAAAAAATACTCCAAGATATATATTTATAATTAATTATTATTACAAAAATTTATATAATTAATAAAAATACAAAAAGAAAAAAAATACCCTAAACCCTATAAAGCATTGCTTAGAGTCTAGTTGACATAAAAATCACTGTTCATAAAAAACTTTTTATACTACTTTTTTTTAGTGTTCGGGCCTATATCATATTATAAAATGAGAAAACTGTATATTAGTCTTAATTTTTAAAAAATAATTAAAGTTTTAACTTTAAATTATAATATTTTATTTAATTAAAATTTAATTTAAAATTTAAAAATTTATTTTATTAAATATTAATATATTAAAATATATAATAAAATTTTAAATTTAAATATCAATATTATTTAATAAAATAAAATTTTAACTTATAAATATAAATTAAAACTACAATTACTTTTAAAAATCAGAACTAAAGCCACTGATCTCTAATAAAATACTCATTAAGAGAAATGAATCAAGAGTGCCTGATATCGAGCTAATGCTGAAGACCCCGGACAAAAACCCTTTAATTTTTACTAGTAAGTATAAGTTGGATCTCTCTGCCTCTAGCTTTGTCCCATCTGCCTCTCTAGGGTTCTGCTTCTAATGTGCTCTGCTCCCATGTGAGTACCAATCCAATCCCATTTCCTTCCTCTCCCTTCTGAATCCGTTTGCCATGCTCTTTCCTCTGTTATTATTATGTTTGTGTTTCGTTTTCATTTCTAGATTTCTCTGTTTCAGTTCTTGTAAACTGATCTTTGCTTGATTGTTCTCGACTTGCATACTCACACGACATGAGCTGCTGCCACCATTAATTTTTTGTATGGTAGCCAGCTCTGGAAGTTCTAGATTCCTCTGTTGATGTTGATAGTTGTTGGGTTAACGTCTGTTTGTTTGCTGGGGAATGAAAGAGAAAATAACGACAAAAGATTGTAGAGAAAGAACATAATTGCTAATTGCATGTAGTTGGTGGGTTAATTTAGGAGATTACTATTCGTAGGTTTTGGTTTTAGGAAATCACCTTTTTTGTTTTTCCCTCTTGATTGCCCACCTGCTTCAACCGTTTAGAAATTTGTTATATAATCAGATTTCAAATTGTTGTTGTTATTTCTAATATAGTCACTATTATTTTTCCCCTTTCTGTGAAAGATTGCAGGCCTTACTTATAAAGTTTGAGGTTTTCTTTTTTTTTTTTTTCTTTTTTCTTTTTTTATATATTTTTTAATTCTTCTTGGACTTTAAATCATACCCAGTTCTAGTTTTCACCAGTTTACCCTTTCCAGTTTTTGCTTATGCAGTTTGTGTTATACATTTTGTAAAGACTTTTGAATGTTTCATGGTATATGAAGTTGGTTAGATGAATACTGGGATATATATAAGTTGTCATTTCAAGCTGAGTACTGCAAGATGGCATGCCTTTTTAATTCCCTCAATGTTTTGAGTGGCATACAATGTTTTCTGAAGAATTTCAAATATAACTCTTTGTTTGAGAGGAAAGGTGTTTGG